ACAAGAATCTTCATCACTCTTGAGAACCTCTTACCATTACAAGGCAAAAGGATTGTTGGGGAATCTGATCTTTTGGATAATGGAAGATGTACACCAGTAAAATTTCTTTAATTAGGCATGACTGCTGAAAGATATCATACTGAAACAACATGGCCTAGTCCTTACTAGGTCACATAAGAACCTGGGGTCTATCATAAGTTATCTCTCTACCATAGGTGGATAAAAAATCACTGCCCAAAGAAGGTTGGAACCAAGTATGTCCTGGAAGTAAAGGCTTCCACTAGACGATAAGTTTCCTCAGACGGTACACAAGAAAAAAATCAAGATTAAGAATAGATAAGTTCCTTAGATAGTCAGAAAAAGAAAGAATATCCCAATCGGGCATTTCTTATTGAGAAGAGGTTTTGAGAAGCAGTTCTTTGGAGGAAGCTGGAAATATTTCTTCAATTTTTATTCTTTTATTTTCTTGTAGTCTACTTAGACATTTTTAGATATTCCCCTTCCCTTTTTTCAACCCATCCTTTTGTAGTTTTCTATATTCCAGCAGCTTGATCAGACATACAGCAGTGACAACCTACTGGCAATGATGCAATGAACTAGGAGGGTCTTTATCCAAAGACACTGTGGAGTAAAATATTGTCCCCAAGATTGAACTTAGAGACTTTTATATTTATGATGAGTTAGTTAGATTAGAATAATAGTTTAACTATAATATGTATCATACTGCTTGAATGAAAATATACTTTTGTTTTCAATTGATTAATAAACTAATGATTTAGCTTGGCTATGAGTACTCTAAAAAAAAAAACCAGACTTATTAATTTCTTTGATATAATAATATTTTTCAATATTAAATAATAATACTACTTATTTATCTTTATCTAAATTACTTTAGTGCTATAGAAAACTTTTCTATTTACTTTGATAAACTACTTTTTTGTCAGATTTAAATTATATATGAGAATTAATTATTTTTGCAAATAAAAAAATGTAATCTTTAGAACAGTTATTTATTCAATCAGATTGGTATAGAAGAGATAATATAAGAGAACTTCTTTTAATATTTCTGAATAATTTGTATCTTTTAATATAGAAGTAATTTTTTCTCTAATAAAAAAAAAAATTAGAATAGAATATATACTGTATGTAGTGGAATAAATTAATTTACTAGTAGCACATTCTATCTGCAGTATTTTTTTATTTAATAAAATCACAAAACACTTGTTAGATCTTTGTATTCTAAGAGTTAAGCTAACAAAGCTTATAAGTTTTTTTTTTATATTTTATTTTCAGAAAGAGAAAACTAATAATGTGATAGAAAGTAATGTTTTGTATTTATTCATATATATAAGTAAAATGCCTTATGGCAAACTTCAAGTTTTTATAGAACTAAGAGATTATATTTAAATATATAAAATAACTAATATGAGCTTATTTATATTTCTTTATTGACATGTTTCTCTAAGTCAATTAATTTATAAGAAACTGTATTACTCAATATTTAAAATCAAACTAAGGCAAGTAAAATTTTCCAGAAAAATCAAGAAAAAGTATTATTAAAATCCAATAAGTAATGAAAAAAGTGGGTAAAGTATATTTGCAATAATTTTCTCATTACTTTTTTCAACTTTTTGATATTTTTTTATACTGTATATGGATAAGCAACAAAGTATCAATTTTTCTTTCTTTTAGAACTTTCTTACTATTGATAAAAAAGATGTTTTATAACTTTTAGATCATGTGCATTAAGTTTTTATTTGAAAAGGAATATAAACAAGAAAGAAGAGAGGTTATAATGACTCTTGAGAAACTTTTCAAGTTGATTTAAAAAAATTAATAAGACTTTATTAATAAAAAAGTAAAAAAACTTCTTGAAAATATCTTTTTTGTATATAGTTAGAAAATTAGCAAAAAGAGTTAATATATAATAAATAAATTATCAATTTTTAGAAAAAATATTTATAATTACTTTAAAAAAAGTATAAAATTTTAAATAAAAAAAATAGTTAAATAAAAATAAAGTTTAGATATTTATTATAAAGATAAAATTAAAAAAATATTAAGTATTATAATAAATCAATTAATAATAATTAATAATTAAAATCAAACAAATATAAGAAAAAAAAGATAAATAAAAAAATAATCAAAATAATTGAAAAATAGATAGAAATATATATTAAATAGTTGAATTTAATTATAATTAGAACTTATAAAAATGATTTATAGTATTAATTTGTAAATACTAATATTTACGATTGAAAAACATTAATTAAAATTATAAATAAAGTAATAAAATATTTTTGAAGTCAAAGTCATATTTAAAGCCAGATTGATAAAGATATATAAGATAGTTATTGATTTAGTTTTAGCAATTTATAGAAATATACAGTATATTGTGTGTATAATTTATAATTATTTAATAAAGTATATATAGTTAGTTCAATAATAGATTAAAAAAAAATTTTTTTTTTAATTAATTATATATTTTAAAAAATAAATTTTGTTTGCGATTTATGATCAATTTTTTATTTTTGAATAAAACTTGAATTAATAAACATATAAGGACAATTATTAATTATAAAAAAGTTAATTTTCAATTATTTAAGGAAACTATTATATATTTAACAATTATTTAATAATATTACAGTAAATTATGAAAGGATTTTTTAGATATACAGGCAATATGGGAAGGAAAAGACAAAACTTCTACAAGACAAGATGCCACAAGCAGTAGTAGAGTAAATTAATAAAAATTATTATAAATAAATTTCCGAATCTTTAATAAGATAAATTAATTATATATATTGGATAAAAAACATAACAGTATAAACAAATGTTAATGTTATTTTTGAGTATTTTATCAATCAAAGTATAATTATTTTAGTAAATGAATTTAAAGTATTTTGTCAATAATAATAATAATAAATTGGTTAATATTATATATACAGTATAATTGAAAAAATATGATTAAAAATTTTTTTCGCATAATTTAAATTTAAAATTAAAGTGAATCCTTACAATTTTATCAAAAACTAATAAACTGACAAATATACTGTATATAAAGTAATACTTAAATAAAAAAAAGAATCAATTGAGCTTTTTTATTATCTTGTAAATAAAAAGAAATTGATTATATATTTATGCGGGTTACGAGTATTAAAGAAAGAACGCCGCAAAAAAATAATTTTTTCTTTTAAATTTTCAATCAAGTTCTACTGTAACTTAAATGAAAAGTCCCACATAGTAGAGTATTGTCTTTGAGGTTAAAACGATGAGAGAAGTGTTGATAATAAAATGCAAATTTTTGAATAAGTAAAATAAGTCAAATCTTTAAATATCATAAAATTTATTATATAATTTTATAACATTACGTGAGTATTCTGAATTACAGATTCAAAATGTAAATTTTGTAAGCCTATACAGTAAATATCTCAACACTACGTACTCATTATTAATACTTGAAAGAAAGTTAAGATCAATCGGGAATAAACTGTTGAGTATTTGGTGACCTCTAAAAGAGAAGGCGAGCACACTTCTCAAGTAAATTAATTCATGACATTTTATCCTGATAAAAAGATCGCTCTTTGGTGAAGACATCCCTCGTAAAATTTCATTTTCTCACATTTCCCTCCTCATTATTTTAAATAACGATATAAACTTGTATTTGATTTTAAAGAATAAACAAATAGTATACAAATTTGACGAAATCAAAACTTTTTAATACCCTTTATAATCAACCCCGTAGCAGCCCCTAAAGCAGCTCCCAGGACTGCACCTACAGGCCCCACAACAGCCCCCGCAGTAGCCCCCACAGCAGTTGCACCTGCTATACTTAAATCGTCTTTTTCCTCCCGTTGCTTTCGTGCTTGCTGCTCTTGTTGCTCTTGCAATTCTCTCTCTTTTCGTTGTCTTTCTTGTTCTAGTAATTTTTCATATTGATTTATTCGTTCTCTCTCTGCCTTTAAATCATTTTCCCATTTCTCTGTTAGCCTCTTTTCTCGTGCCTCCATCTCCCGTCGCATTTGATCGGCGGCCTCTCTTTTTGCCTTTTCTTTTAATTCCTCTTCATATTTCTGCTTTGCTTTTCTCGCTTCCTCTTCTTTCTGAAGCCGAATCTTCTCTTGTTCTCGCTGATTTTTTTCAAATTCTTCGGTAGTGTAGATTCCTTGAATACCACTTATTAACTCTTTAATCTCGTTTAACCGTGCTTGATAAGTTGGATCATTTAGAGAGAAATAATGAGGATCCGGTGAGACTCCCCAACGGTTTCCAATGCTTTGAATGAATGAAGAAACGTGACTGTTCCAGGTCCCTTTCATTTTATCCCTACTTTCAATCTGTATTTTTGTCGCGTGAGAGAATATGGAAATTATATAGTTTGTTGCGTCTTTCCCAAGAAATGTTCTTATCCCGCTCAAAGCATTCTTTTGTTCTTCGGTAAATCTTCTTGCCTCTATGAAATTTATTTAAAATTGCAGTAAGTAAACTTTAAACGACAGTATGCATATTGATAAAAAGCATATATACCAAAAACTATAAGGATGGCCTTGACCCCGAAAGCACATTTATGGACGGATTTGGCAATTTCTTGAAGTATTTCATCGGTATCTTTTCTGGTATCAAATATTCCGGGGGTGTCGACAATGTCATAGGTTACTCCATTAATCAATACCTTTTCAGAGCGACATTCTTGTGTGACAGAGTCCTGCAATATATTTTTAGTTTTTTTTAATATTGAATCAGCTCTCCAGTAAACATAAAACATAACATAATCTCTCACCATATCCGCCGAGGCGTAGAAAGGCCCGCTATCATGTGGTTTCCCAAGTAGCATATTGCCCAGAGTACTTTTTCCTGCGCCTAATATTGTTTCCGTTAATTGATAATTTATTAATAATAGAATAAAATCGACAAAAAACTTGCCTGTTTTCCCCACCAAGAGAATAACTTGATTTGTAACATTCATTTTAGCACTTTCTTTGCGTTTTGGTGTTGCAATGTTAGTAGAATACTTGTAACGATTAAATTAAAAATTAGTTTATTAAATTCGTTCAATCGTAAATTATTCAACTAGCTCCAGGGAAAAATTTTCTTTTTTTCTGAAGGCAGATGTGGTCTATTTATCATTGCAAAATTAATCGGAGATCATTAGTTGTAATGGAACAACTTTGGGATACTATTGTTTCCAGGCTAGTAACAATTATTCGATTGATTATATTACATCTAACTCGAGGACTTGCATAAATATTTGCCGGAATACGGCTCGCGTTTATACATGTTTCTTGCTGGATATTTTGAGGTAGAATGACGAAAATAGAATTTATCTTTACGCAACCATATCGGGTAATACTGTATAATGCATCATTAGCGCTTTGTTAAAAATGTTCGAAAAAGCTTTTTTAAATAAATTTTTAGAAAAATGGGTAACACGCAGTACAAAAGTAATATATAATACGTCTATTTTAGACAGGAGGTACAGGAATTATAACTCCCGAAATATACCCTGTTTTGAGTTCTAACTTGAAAGTTGCCTAAGAATGAATATGCATAAGTACAAGTAAGCAGGTCAATAATATGATGACATTCGACGTGCATTTTATTTTCCAAAATCTTTTTATTCAATTGCGAGTTGTATATGCATTATGCGAACCATGCATGGAGATTTGAGACTCTTTGTCCGAGGACAATGTAGATAAAATTTCTTTGTTTATTGCTCGACTCAGAGAACATTCTCGTGGTAGGTAAATTTAAAAAATAATAATGATTGTATTGATAATTGGTCCTTTCGATACTTAATGGCCCCAATTGGTTAAGTAAATTTATCTATAATTGAAAACAATTAAATTTGGAAATAATGGATCTTAGGTGCAGTCACCGTAAATACGGAAAAATAATATAGGAATCGACCAATGGAACCGACCGAGATAAAGTTACAGGAGAGGATCGGGCACCATGATTCGCCTAAACCTCAAACCCAAGAATACTATTATTTTTTTTTTATGGTTGATTAAAAAACAAATATCTGCTTAAAGAATCGTGATCGATGAAGACGAATCACATCGTTTCAACGGTTTTCCTTGTCAGACAAACAGTATTACGTAATGATATTGATTGCCAAAAACAATATAAATTCGTCAATTTGAAAAATTTTTCTATAACCATGGTTCCTTTCAATATAAAACTCTGTTTTTCTACTAATGTTATGGGTATTACTGGAGATATAAAAAGATTCAATATAACTGATATTAGTGATGCAAGAAAATTGGCCGACGCAATGGCATACAAAACTGAAGTTACTTTGAAGAGTGGCGAAGTCGCAGATTTTACAGGTGGTCCATTTGGAGCGCTTTGGATCAATCAAACTAAAAGAACAAGTATTGCTCGTCAACTAAGAAATTATATCGAACAATATGATAAAGGTGAATCTGTTGATGGTTATATTGATGAGAATAACTAGAACAATATTTTGAGTGAAGACCCAAGAGAATATATAAACAGGTAGGTGAAATTTTGGTTAGATTCCAAACATTCACCAATTGCGGTAAATAAAATGTGTAGAATAAATTAGCTTGTAGTCTAAATTTACAAGATAAATGTTAGTGCAATAAATTAAATTTGTACATTTTCTTAGTGGAAAAATTCCCCAAATCTATTCTGAGTGAAGTCAGAAATGCATGTACCGAGGATAGGTACAAATGACATACTGTAGCTTAACGTATTTGATCGAATTTTAATCGTCATACCTGTAACAAGTGTTAAAAAATAATGATATACACTATTCATGACGATTATTAGAGAAGATGGGATTCTTGATTGTGGGCTTACGAATAAATATTATATACATGCTATCGAATAAATGTATACTATATACAGTATTAATTTATCATGCCCCTAATAGTCCTAGTAGCGAGATATACTGTATGGTCACTTACCTTGACCCATTAAAGTACGACGAATTTTGTCACTGGTTGTTTGTAAGTACTTGTGGCACTTGTTTTAGAGTTTTGGACCTTTACGTTTCTTTCTTGATTATTTTCATATATCTGTCGTAAATTACTTAAAAGTAGAATTCTAGGGAAATATAAACTCTTTCCTACGGTATACCTTTGATATATACACGATGCATATACTCAATGCAAATACATCCATTACATATACTGTACATACATACATAGCCTAAGAAACTTGTGATATTTGTGACAGTTATCGGGAACAGTTTTTTTCGAACTCAGCTTTTCAAAAATCTATCTTTCTACTGATTTTTTTACTTGAGACTAACTCGTGACAACTAGTGACGGTCAATTTCACTGTGTATTTTTTATTTTGTGCCATCACCCGCTTTTTTCGGTAATAGTAGGCTTTAACATGATTTTTATCTGCATGCTAATTACATAAGCTATACTCAGAATCAGTCGGTTTGCCACATTCTTGCTGACGCTTTTTGCAATAACTAGCACATCTTTCTTGCCAATAGCAAGGTTGTCTACAGACCTTCTCCTCATTGAAAAGATACTGCCAAAGATAAATATCTGTTATTACTGATTATTATTTTTTGAAACTTGCTAATATTAGTATCTTAGGTAAAACAAATTGTTTGATAAATGTAAATGACTTATGTATCTAAAAAACTTATATACCTTAGAGCCTAAAAAACTCGAAAAATTTCAAACTAGAGCTGAAAAAATAATGGAAGCTTCTATTACTGGGGAAATAAAGTTGAGAGTATAGATAAATATACTGTATATATAGTATATAATTTGTAATAATAGTATTATATCAAGACAATTTTTTGACACAGATTTCAAAGATAAAATAAAAGCTATACATAATGAATAATAAGAATTTTATGCAAATTTATTGATAATGATAATATATTTTGTTTTTTTATAGATTTCAATTGGTCTAAAAATTTTATTAAAATTAAACTCAAGTTTATATCTAATAAAATAAAAATATATTTATAAAGATATTTAAAGTGCAATAAAAAAAAAAAAAAACTCTTTCCCGTGGATCCTTTTTTTTAAAAAATTTCCTTTTATGGTAATTTTGAAAAGAAAAGAAAAAGTGAATGGAGAGATGTCCTCTCAAAAGGAACTTCGAAATAAAATAGCCCAATGGAGGCCCAACTACAATGAAAACACTTTGGCAAGAGGCGTCACAAGCAAGTTACACAAAGAAACAAACTTGAAGCCTATAAAAAAAACTATTAGAAACAAAATCCAAACTGAAATAAACAAGTATTCTATAACCTCCAACATTCTCAGCACAAGTATATAGACTGCCAACAATGCAACAACCACACTGATTAGCAATAAGATAGCACACAATATATCAAAATCCCCCAACTGGAATGAAGAAGTTAAAGAGGCTATTATCAACTTTCCAAATAATGAAGATCAAACTCAAGTTTCCAAATAATAAAGATCAAACTCAAATTACATTTTTCATGAACTTGAGCATTGAAAATCAGGTTTTGGACTTAAATATTAATATTAATGAAGAGGAATATGAAACACAGTTGGTAATCTTACTAGAAAGAAAAAAAACTATAAAGACAAGTAAAAAGAAAACGATTGGATAACAAGATCAAGATCACACTTTTCTTTTGATAGAGAACAAAAATATGTGAGAAAAAGGGTCAAGATATGCATCCTAGCATCAGAATTTTCTGGCAGAACAACAACACAAAAAATAATCCATCTTATAAAGGCTCTCAATTTATTAGAAAGATTTCTTATTATCCATAGTGAGGAAAACAACAATCAGAAACACATCATTGCTATTCTCAGTAACAAACAAGTAACAATCGAGGCATGCAACACAATCTTACCAAACACAAACAATCAACACATGGAAATTATGGAATATACGAATCTAAAACTAAAAAAGAAAATGAGTATCAGAATATGAGATATTCCCCTGAATACAAATTTTATTGAAGTACAACAGTTTTTTGTTAAATATGGGCAATCAGCAATATTACAATATCAACTCAACAAATGTGGCAAACTGAAACCATTACATATGTAAACAAAAAAGACAAAGAAACATTGATCAATAAATAGAGTGTTCCCTTAAGGTCAACCTTAGTCAGAGTTATTGATGCACAATGAAATAAGAAACAAATAAAAAAACATGGCCAAATTGCAGTCAATCTAATGAATCTTCCATCTAATGCTACTGCCTTTGACCTTTGCCTTACCTGTAAACAAGTCAAAACGAAAATCTATTATATTTAAAAAAGAATATCATATCAAAGAAAATGATTTGCAGTTTATAGTTTTAAATGTCAAAAAGATATAAATGAAGTAATCAAATA